AAAAAAAAAAAAAAAAATACAGGTTATGACTAAAACCACAGCATTCTCACTTCATCATGCCCCCACATTCCTCCCCATCTTATCAAATCCTGCTTATCCAGTGTCATGGTTTTCCCAAGAACACCCAATCAGACGTTCTCTCCGGTTTTCAGGCCCTGAGTCCTTCTTATCAGCCATCCAAATGCCTCCCTGTCCCTCCTCCAGCCCACAGGCTTCTTAAAAGCAGGGCTGGGTTAGTCCCGCTCTTGATCCCTGTCCTTTGCCTCCATCAGGCTCCCTCACCATGCAGTAGGTGCTCAGTCAATCCCTGCTGGGTCGATTTGCCCCTAAAAGGTCAATATGAGCATCCTCAGCCCTAGGGAACAGTAGCAGCAGTCACAGGAAAACTGTCATCCCCAGACCCCACTGTGCCCCTAGCTCTGTGTTCTGCTTGACTATGGGAGTCAGAGAGAAGGGGCAGCCTGGGAGGCTTGATGTGCCTCTCTAAGTAAGACACAAAAGCAAGGCAACAGATACAAAGAAGAATAGTGATCATAACAGAGGAACATTTATTAAGCTTTCGCTGGGTGCACAGCACTGTGCCAAGAGACACAGAAACAATCTGGGAAGAGAGCTCAGAGCAGCGCAGGAGAAAGGGGCCCATCAGGAAGGGTTTTGTAAACCTTGCACAAGATTCTAGGCTGAGGACAAGTGGGGCACTGTGGGTGGGGAAGTGACAGAATCAGGTCTGTTTGGAAGGAGCCCTCCGGCAGCTGTCAAAACTCTTCCCCTCCACCCTATCAGGCCCCTGGGAGGTAAGACTAGAAAGGGATGGACACAGCAGCATCTCCCTGATTTCTGAACCAACCTATGGTGGGTTGGGGAGGCTGACGAATTTAGTGGAGGAAACCAAGAATACCAGACTGAGCCCCTGGAGTGAGGGGCATCAGACTGTACAAGAGGCATTAGTGCAGAGGGAAAAGCTACGAATAGGCATAATTTGGAGTCTGGAGCCCTGGGTCAGGTGTGAATATTTTTCTTAACTTATTCTCTGAGTCTATTCCCACATCTGTGAAGCAGAGAAAACAATTCCATTCTCTGCCTGTCCTCAGAAATACCAAATGAACAAATGAACATTAAATGTATACTACCCAATGTGCCCTTTTCTTAACAGGTAGCTGACCTCTGAATTGTCTGATGTGCTTCCTGCTTTACTCTCAGGGTCTTGTTTCCCTGCGGAGTCTCGGCACAGTAGGGCCTAGCCCCAGGGTTGGGGGATGGGGGGGTCCATCCTCCTCTTCCGCTGGAAATGAGCTTTCAACTTGTTGAGATGGAGACTTCTCCCTCCCCCTTCCCCTCAGGTCCCTAGAGCGGCGACCTCAGGACCACCTGCCCCTCCCAAGCCACTGATGAGTTTGGGATCAACCCAGGAGCTTTTCACTCAATAGCTGGTGCTGAAACACATGCTCCCCACCGCCTGCACGTTAAAATCACCTGCGGAGCTGTGCAATGATACGGAGGCCCAGGCCTCACCTAGAACAGTTAAGTAGGAATCTTTCGGGGCGGGCCCAGCATCGGTGTTTTTTTTTAAAGCTCCTCAAGTGCCACCAGGGTTAAACGCCTTTATGCTAATGAAACGGATCCCGGCCTGACCAGTGCATTCCTCGATCCCAGACAGCCAGGGAGCTATCTGATCCACTGCATCCCTTTCTTTACACCCCGGGAGAGCCCTTCTGCGAGGATTCCACCCTTGCCCGCTTGAACCCCGCTTCTTCCGCCCCGACCACAGAACTCTCCCAATCCAAAATATGATCACCCCAAAGCCCCCACAGACAAACCCTATGACTTCCAGAGCGCAAAGCATTCCCCTCCCCCTTGGGCCTGTCGTTTGTGCCAGATTGGCCCCAGCCCAGCCCTCTCCAGCCCGCGTGCCCCAGCCCCTAGCCAGCCTCTCACCGCAGTCGTAGCAGGCGAATCCTAATCCCGCGCCTGGCGGGAGCCAGGTGCGAGCCGGTGCGCCTGCGCGTGCTTCTAGGGCTTCCCCAGCCTCTCCCTTTGCGGCGTTCCAACGATTGGCCCCGCGAGGCCCCTGGGACCGCAGCTCTGGCAGGTGACCGCGCTTGAGGCTGCCGTCGCCATGTTTGTCACGGGCACTTGCCCTTAGCGACCAAAAAGAGAAAGTGGACACTGGCAAATAGGGCCAGGTTGCCTGGATTCCTGATCGGCTCAGCCCCTCTCCTTTACCTCCACGATAGCTTAATGTCATTTCTGTTCAAACCAACACGTTTTTTCTTTCTAAGCGCTCACCTTCCTTCCTCTCCTAGCCTAGTACTCGCTGGGAGAGCAGAAGTCAGCACACTCCATCCAGCCTTGTGGTCTGAGCGGATGCACTGCTGCTGCCGACTTGGAGGTTGCAGAGGCACGACCCGGGACTCCCTGATGCTGCATCATGAGTCCTTCAAGGGTGGACAGGCCCAGCTTGAGCTGTGGGCAGCAGGGCTCTAGCCACAGCAACCAAGGCCTGAATGAGCAGCTATGCAGCCCAACCTCCTTGTATTAACAACGGTAATAATAAAACACAAGGAGTACTGAGCGCTTGCTATGTGCCCTGTACTGCATTCAGAACAACAGTGCATTCTCTTGTTGAGTCCACACATCATTCCTAGGAGGTAGGGGCTTCTATCCCCATTTTATACATGAGAAAACTGCGGTTCAGAGAGATTCAATAACACACAAGCGGCAAGGGCCCAGTCGAGGTGGAACCTGGCTATCCTGACTCCCACAACAGTCTTTCCTCTTCCCACTCCTGCACAATTCCTCAAAATCAAGTTTTGTTTTGCTCAATGTAGGCTGTGGAGGATGTTTTATGATTTCTCCCAACTGGGCTGTAAGCCTGGATAGGTTTTTGGGCAACCAGACAGCACACATTCCAGTTCTGCCTGATTCCCCTACCTTGGGACACAGGGTAAACAGCCTGTGGCCTTTGGCTTCTTTAGGACCTGGAATTCATCTCCTAGCCCCACCACTTCCTCGCTAAGGGACTCCTTTATTATTATTTGAAACAGGGTCTTGCTCTGTTGCTCAGGTCAGAGTGCAGTGGCGTGGCATGATCTCAGCTCATTGCAACCTCCACCTCCCTGGCTCAGATGATCCTCTCACCTCAGCCTCCCAAGTTGCTGGGATCACTGGCTCATGCCACCATGCCTGGCTAATTTTTAAACTTATTTGTAGAGATGGAGTCTCACTATGTTATCCAGACTGGTCTTGGGACTGGTGCAAGGGACCCTCCTGTTTCAGCCTCCCAAAGTGCTGGAATGATAAGTGTGAGCCACTGCTCTTAGCTGGGACCCTCCTTTTGCGAGCCTGTTTTATGCTTTACAGGGATTTTGCAGGCATTAAATGAGAAACAAGGGTATAGGAGCTTTGTGAACTGCTCATCTTTATGACCTTCATTGATGGTTGTGAGCTAACTCCCTGCAACAGGAATATTGTCCTCCTCCTCCTAACAACCACAGCAAATCCTCCATTGTAAAGGCCTGATGTCCTGGGGCTAGAGCCTATTCAACCAGTTCCTGGGGAGCCCCTAGGGATGCCATGAACCTTGCCCCAAGAATCCATCTCCCACTCACCTGTCCCTCCTTCCCAATCTCTCTCCTTCAACACTCTTCACACATTTCATGTCACCTGTCACCCCCCACCCCACCCCACCCCCATCTCTTCTAGATTTAGACAATTGCTGAAATCCCTCCTGATCCAGAAAGCCTCATGACTAGACGACAGGTGATCATTTTGCCCCTCTCCTCACCTCTTACCTCCATCTGTGCTTACCTGGCTGTGAGAACAGAAAACTCAGCATTCAGCCTGGAGTCTGGCAGGCGCACTGGGACCTACATACATTTGCTAAAAGAGTCTCCCTGCCTTTCTATCTCTGGCCAGCATGTGCCTGCCTTTCTTTCTTTCTCTTTCTTTCTTTCTTTCCTTCCTTCCTTCCCTCCCTCCCTCCCTCCTTTCTTTCTTTCTCCTTCTTTCTTTCTTTCTTTTTCTTTCTTTCTTTCTCTTTCTTTCCTTCCTTTCTTTCTTCTTTCTTTCTTTACTTTCCTTCCCTTCCCTTCCCTTCCCTCCCTCCCTCCCTTCCTTACTTCTTTTTAATTTTTTTGAGATGGAGTCTTACTCTGTCACCCAGGCTGGAGTGCAATGGTGCAATCTCAGCTCACTGCAACAGCCGCAGTGAGTTTTGCCCTCCTGGGTTCAAGCGATTCTCCTCCCTCAGCTTCCAGCTTCCCAAGTAGCTGGGATTACAGGCACATGCCACTACACCCGGCTAATTTTTGTATTTTCAGTAGAGACGTGGTTTCACCATCTTGGCCAGGCTGGTCTCAAACTCCTGACCTCGTAATCCACCTGCCTCAGTCTCCCAAAGTGTGGGATTACAGGCATGAGCCACCACACCTGGCCGCATGTGCCTTTATTTCAAAGCAAACTCCAAGTCTTTACTTAGCCCTCACTGGGTGTTCAGTGGGGAAATGGAAATAGGGAAAGCTGACAGAGGCCGGAGCTGTATGTGACCCAGAAGAAAAGACCTTTGGTCCCTCACATTGCACTTAATGCCCCACAGTTACACTCTGAGGCCCCTCAGCCCTCTGATTATAGAGACAACGTAGCCAGTTACCTTTTATGTCAGCACCAGGACAGGGCCATATCACCTGCCTGACTCCTTGGGCCATACTGGAGTCCCTGGACCATGGGACAGATAGATTATGCGCACTCTGTCTTCTCCCCTCCCTTCACTTCCCACCTCTCTGATCTGGTTCCGCCATGTTCTATTCTGATCTACCAATTTCTCCTCAGTCCCCTTCACTTTGGCACTTTCTCCCAGAGCCTCTAAATGTAAAGGGAGGGTGCCTCACATTTCCATCTTCAATACTCATATATTCACTCAAACTTTTAGTCCATTCCAGGCCACAGGCTATAAAGTAAAGGGGATTTCAAAAACAAGATTGGTGCCCGCAAGAGGCGTGAGTGGGGTTCCAAAAAGCCAGCAGTCATGATGTCAATAGTGTGATAGGAGCCAGGTAGAGACAAGCTCAGGCTGTCTCTATCAGCCGTTACAGTGATTTCACCTTCTACCTTTTCCTTCATGACTCTTTCCACAGCTCCCATGTCCAGCCTGAACAGAATGTCCAGAATGGCCCACCTGAACGCAACAGTCCTTCAACTTCCAATCTCCCTCCAGCGTTTTCTACCTCTAGGACTGCCTTAACTGCCCATCCAGGTGGCCAAGCCAGAAACATGTACATCCAGCATCCACCCACATCCTACCCGCTTCACTTCATCAAAACCACCATCTTGGATCAAGTCCAGGTGAATCCCACTCCCATCTCTCTTTTCCATCCTTTGCTCCTGTTTGGTTGTCAGCTTTCCTCAACTAACACGAGAACCTCCTCCACGACTGGCTTCCACCCCCTCGCTCTCTAATCTGTCCTCCATTTTGCCCTCAAGTGAGCTTCTGATCACAAGGTTCCCTGAGCAACAGCTTCTCAGGTTGCTATATACTGAAATTTTTCATGGCTGATGCAGTGGCTCACACCTGTAATCCCAGCACTTTAGGAGGCTGAGGCAGGAGGACCACTTGAGCCCAGGAATTGGAGACCAGCCTGGACAACACAGTAGACTCCATCACTACAAAACATTTTTAAAAATAAAAAAATTGGCCGGGTGTGGTGGCTCACACCTGTAATCCCAACACTTTGGGAGGTCAAGGCAGGTGGATCACCTGAGGTCAGGAGTTCGAGGCCAGCCTGGCCAACATGGTGAAACCCTGTCTCTACTAAAAA